CGAGTTCTTCAGCGATCACTGAACAAGCTCAGTGTATTGATYGCTGGAACCGAAAGTACAGAAACACAAAAATACATCGAAAGGAAAAAAGGATTATCATCAAATCACTGAGAGAGAGGATCAACAGTTTTTCATATAACCGAAAGAAGATCAATACAAGATAAAAGTCAAATAGTAGTCTAACAAATATTACTACTAGCAAGCCGTATTTTGGAGTGCAAACTTGTTCAACAAGTTTGACTCACAAACTTGTCCAACACTTATATGTCAGCCAAAGTAAGTTCTAAAACACTATTTAATTAGTACCATATTTTCTTTACTGTTCCTTCGACATATTTTCTAAAACTTCTATGTGATAGTTTTTTAGGCAACATCGCCGTCAACATTTAAAAAACTATCTTCGTCCTTCAAATATGAGAGAGTGCCTTTTTCTCTCACTCTTTAAGTGTTAACAAATCTATACCAGTCAGATTGTTTAGGATCATATGCCTTACCTTCCTAGCTTCTGCAACAAATATGTGATTCTTTGTTTTAATACAAAATATAAAACTAAAACTGAAAATTTGTTTTGTGTATATTCAACCCCTTTTACAAGCACATTCTATGTAAGTCATTACATATCAAAACCAACAAAAAAAACATCGATTTTTATTGTATTTTGAAGTTGGATGAAACAACGAATTATATTGTATTTTTGAAGTTGGATGGAACATATTTTGTACTGCATTTTTGAAGTTGTATTTAAATGATAATTCAATTGGTTGATGTTATAAAAATGGTAGTACAGTGCTACAAAACGATCAATTATTACATATCATAAATATCCAAATAACATTTATGATAATGATTTTTCCGGTATTAATCAAACAACATCAATGCAATATTGACTCCTATTTTCATTCTCAGTCATTCCTAGGTTCATTCCCTTGTCTAAACAAAAAAACTCCTAAATCTCTCACTCTCTCTAATGTTGCATGTGTTTCTAAAAGTAAATTTTTTTTAGGGTCCGTTTAGTTTGCAAGATTGTTTTTGAGGGATTTAGATATAAACAGATTTGAATTAAAATGAATTTGAAATTATTGGTGTGTTTAATTTTGAAGGATTTTTATGGGAATTTCAAAATCCTATACAAATTCATTCCATTAGTACAAATGAAAATAGAACTTAATATTTGGGCATGCATCAAGCATAGAAAGTTTTCTTTATAAACTATTCCCCTTCAAAACTTGCGAGTAATATTGCCGCCAAAAATGAGAATCGCCGAGATCTCTTCACCGGATCTCCGGTCGACACAGTCACAGGATCCGATATCTGATCTATTTTGCAAACTAGAAGCATTTACAACGGAAATCGAACGCCATTCACCGAAATCTCCTTTGCCGGAGTCTCTCCACGCTAACCTCCGCCAGGGACTGACTCAACTAATGTCACTCGCACCGTTCCAGAACTCTGTCAAGCTCCAGATATGGAAGCTGAGTTACCGTTTATGGAACGCATGCGTTGATCTCTCCAACTGCATCCGATCATCATCGTCTAAGGTTACTGAGGAACACGCCAAACTGCGTCAAGTCTCGGCTGATCTTCTCTTCCTCGCCGTTGACGTGTCCGGTGTACCTTCTCCTTACTTCAAGTGCGCTTCGTTTTTTTATAAAACAGGTACAATCTGGCATGATCTCAGTCAGTACGATCTCGCTAGCAATTGCTTCGAGAAGGCGACAGATCTGACGTCAAAAATCGAGATTACGAATGTATCCGATCGTGAAGAGCGTAGGCTGCTTCTTGATTTAAATATCGCGAGATCAAAGACAGCCTGGGAGGTTTCGGATAAAAATCTAGCGATTAATTTACTAAATAGGTCGAAAAGAGTACTGTTTGGAATTGCAGAGAACTATATGGCTTTAGTGAACCAATATATGAATTTTGGAAAATTGGCTTTGTCAAAAAACGAAGTCTCTTGTGTAAACGAGGCGTTGAAGCTGATGACTGAGGCTTTGGAATTGTGTGAGAAGGGGTTAAGAAATGTGAAAAAGACAGAGGAGACTCTAGCCTTAAAGGAATTAAGGCTGAAGACGCTTAGATTCATGGCAGCATCACATTTGCAGAGAGATGAATTTGAGAGCGTTCTGAAGTGTGTGAAAGTTTTAAGAGACGGTGAGAAAGGGGAAGATCATCCGACCTCGAGTGTGTTAGCGATGAAGGCCTGGTTAGGGTTAGGAAGGTACGGGGAGGCAGAGAAGGAGCTAAAGAGAATGGTGGTAAATAAGGGGATTCCAGAGGGAGTTTGGATATCAGCGATGGAGTCATACTTGCAGGCAGTGGGCACCCCTGGGGCAGAGACAGCAATGGGGGTGTTTCTGGGACTTCTAGGGAGGTGCCACATCAGTGCTGGCGCAGCAAATAGGTTGGTTCAGAGAGTAGTTGGTGACTGTGTGAACAGAGAGGGAAGTAGAGTGAGGGCTAAAGTGGTTGCTGAGTTTGTATCCAGTGACAAGGTTGTTGCTCTTTTTGCTGGAGAGCTGGCTGCAAACGAGAGATCCGTCATGCATGCTCTTCTCTGGAACTGGTAAGTCACTGTTTCTTACTTGTGCTCGTTGAGAAACAAGTTGACAGTGCCGGTCCTCTAGGTCTGTGCAAGTCCAGTGGATTCACGGTCGAACTTCTTGGCACAAAGACAGCTAATGAACCCTCATTTCATTATTAAGTTTTGAAATGATGTAGACAGTAAACCCACGTTTTGTAGATTATGGCTAGATTGCCTGCTGCATTTGTGTAGCTGTATTCATTTGCATGCCATTGCATACAAAGAAGCGAAGCATAATAGTGTCTAATATCTTTTTTCATATACAAGGTGGGTAGTTTTGCTATGTCTATGTTGGAATTATATTAAATAGCATTCACTTTTCATGTTTGCAATTCTTACCATAGCACCCTATCCAAAGCATGTTGTGTGCTTGTTGAGTTGGACAAGTTGCTGCGCAAAGCAACATGTTACTGTTAATGAAAATCTTATATAGTTTCAATGACAAATATTACTGCAGTGCGGCAGATCATTTTCGTTCTAAGGATTACGTGGTCAGTGCAGAAATGTTTGAGAAGTCTCTACTTTATGTCCCTCACGACATCGAGAACAGATCTAATCGAGCAAAGGGCTTTAGAGTACTGTGTCTATGTCACCTAGGCCTCTCCCAGCTGGATAGAGCTCAAGAATACATTGATGAGGCTGCTAAGGTACACTGAATTCACTGCAATAACCTTCTCTTGTAGCATGAAGATTTTGTCAATATCTTAAAATAAGAAGGAAACGTGCTTGATGGCTTGATAATCTTTCCTTGATTTTGATTTTCTGTAATTTCATAATTGCAGCTGGAACCGAACATTGCTTGTGCTTTCCTGAAGGTATGTGTTTTGCTTTGAAGGAAGGCATACGAAATAATGAATTAAAGATGTGCAAATTTTGATTCCCTGAAGAGATTCTTTCTTGTTAGAAGATTCCAAACACATATTCAAATGTCATACTCCCTCTGTCCCATAACATGATAACTGCAAGAAATTTTAATAAGTTTCAAAGTTAAAATCACCTGTTTATCATCCTTACAAATAAATTGATTGATTCTTGGATAGGTCCACAATAATACTTTAGTCAACTGATGGCAGTATTCAGTTTTCTTCTATTTACTAAAAGGAATTCTGCCTTTGGTACATGGGACGGGACGGGACAAAACTCACTGAACAAGAACTCACTTCTGTCCCACGTTTGGCGCGACATGGGAATGGGACAAGAATTGGGACAAGGTGGGACAACATGAGACAAAAGAGGTTTTTTCTTGTTTCACCAAAATAGGTGGAACAAGATTGGATAAGAATGAGACATAAACTAAAGTATTACTAATCTACCCCAGTTTGATATATAACCTTAATATGATATTTGTTTTAATGGTCATCACCGCTAGTTTCGGCCGCCGCCACCACTACCGGCGGTCACCGGCGGCCACCTCCACCTCCACCTCCTCTTCCACACAACATATCCTCCGCCGCCTCCACAACCACCGTCCACCAAGTCCATTGCCACCTCTACCATAGTCGACCACCGACCACCACCGTCCATTGCCACCACCACTACCGCTGTTCGCCACCTTCAACTCCTTCTCTACTGCAACAACCTCCTCCACGACCACCATCGGCCACCACCATTCATTGCCACCTCACCTCCACCACCACCACCACTATCTTCACTACATCAACCACAACTACCTCCTCTACTGTTGTCAACCGCCACCACAATCTACCATCTTCATGTCCTCTATAACCACCGTAGACCACCAAGCACTACTGCCTCTACCTCCATAACCACTGTCGGCCACCGACCACCATCGTCCGTTGCCATTACTACCGTCGGCCACCGACCACCATCGCCCGTTGTCACTACTACCGTCGGCCACTGACCACCACCGCCCATTGCCACTACTACCGTCGGACACCACCACCACCTCCACTATAACCAAAACCACCTCCACCACCACCACTACTACCATCAATTATATCAAAAATTTTATTAAAATTTGGTACAAATATGAAAATTACATACAAATATTTATAAATTAAATTCTTTAATTATTTACTTTATTTGTATTAATTATAACTATTATATAATATTTAAATCATCAAATAACTTTTGGGGGTAGCTTGTCTAGTTCTGTCCCGTCCAGTCCTAGGGGCTGTTTGGCAGTTGCTGAATGATTTATGCAGAATAGTTAAGAGGTCAGAATGGTTAAGAGGGTCAGAATGGTTAAGAGGGTCAGAATGAAATAATGTTGTTTGGTAACTGTTCTCTGAATGACAGTAAAATTACCATTTTAACCCTCTGAATGATTTAGTACTGAATGAAATAAAGCTGTTTGGCTGATATCTGAATGAAACAATAATTTTACAAAAATAACTACATATTTCATATTAATCCAAACAAACGTAACATTAATCCAACCAAACCCCACAGATAAGAAAAGCAATCTTCAAACCCCACAGATAAGAAAAGCAATCTTCAAACCCCNATAAGAAAAGCAATCTTCAAACCCCACAGATCAAACAATCGGCCGTATAAACAATCTGATTAGAGGTCACCATCTAAATAGTTGATCTAAATACTTGATGTAAAAGTGATAATAGCTTCGAGAAATGTAAATAGGGAAAACAAATAATCTGATTAGAGGTCACCGGCGACCGGCGACTACCGACYGGCGACCAGCAACCGGCRACYMMACGAATAAGTASGACCGGAGACATTACCTGATGGAGCGTCGAGAAGCTTCTGCGCGTCACCGTCACCGAAAACAGAGGCGTGGGCGATGGATGTCACCGGGCGATGGAGGTCACCGGCGATGGAGGTCACCGGCGATGGAGGTCACCGGCGATGGAGATGTGGAAGATGGAGGTCACCGGCTGATTTTCCCTTGGAGACGATGATGTAGCATTTCCTGTGGTAGGCCGATGTGGAAGAGTAGAGAAGGAGAGAATGGGGCGGTAGGTGTGGAAGGGTATAGAGGTCAAATTAATAATCTGAATGGTTTAGCATGGATTCAACCTCAAAATGGTTAAGAGCTTTGAGTAACCATTAAGAGGCTTTTATTTTTTTGCCAAACATGTCTCACCTCTGACCGATTCAGAGGTGCCCTCTTAATGTCACCATTAAGAGGGAAACAAACAGCCCCCTAGTCTTACCAAACACCAGACATACATACTCCTGTTATGTCAGTCCTGTCCCGTCCAGTTCTGTCTTGTTTAGTCCCGTCCACTTATGTCTACATATCAAACACTACCTTAATGTATTTGGGTAACAGTGAAACAATTTTCTTTATCCATGTGTCAACTGAAATATTCATGAACTAGATAGTATATTTGAGCTTGTTATCTATCATGAAATGCTTCAGTTATCTCTTGGTATAGTTTTATAAACGGTTTTCTTCAAAATTCTGCAGTTCAAGATCTATTTGCAAAACAATGATCATAATGGAGCTATTACTCAAGTACAAGCAATGCCAACCTGCATTGACTTCACCCCAGAATTCCTCTCACTATCAGCCCATGAAGCTATTGCTTGCCGTGCTCTTCCTGTTGCAATTGACTCATTATCCAGTCTTTTAACCTTCTTTCCCTTGGGGAAACCAATGCCAACAACAGAAGTCATAGTTTTCCGAACCCTTATCACAATTCTCATTCAAGAACCTCGAAATGAGACCGAAGTCCTTAAATACATGAAAAGAGCCCATGCTCGTATCTCTGATCTTGGACCTGACCGGTTTTTTGGGACAGGTGAGGTTGGAATAAGGGAACGAAACTGGTTTGCTTTGAACCTGTGGAATATTGGATTGAAAAGCGGCCAGGAAAAGAACTATCAAGTGTGTGGGGAACTTTTCAGAATGTGTGCAGAATATTATAGTGTTACAATTGACGGACAAATGGAGGGAAACGATTCGATGGTATGCAAGTCACTGATATTAGCCGTGTCTGCCATGTTAGCCGGTGAGAAGCTGAGTAAGAATCCGTTGCTGGACAATGAAGTTAAACAAACCATTGAGTTGCTAGAAAGAGCCGGAAAGGTACTAAAAGATTGTGGGTTATTTAAGAAAATAACCTTCTGACAATATTTCTTTTTTCTAACATATGATCTTCTGACAGATTTAAGAATACTACTAACTTTTTACAGAAGAACCTAATACAATAATGCTGCAAAATCTGTCAAAAGGTCATGCATTCATAAAAAATATGTCAGAAGACTATTATCCTAAATAACTCTACTAACTGTGTTTCAAATCTTATAAAGCATAAACTTGATTAATCATTTCGGGTCCTTTGGATAAATGACCTTAAACGAGTTTTCAATTAGGAGAAAGACCTTCTAATTTCTTTTTGAAGCATATAATATTTATATATGGTGAGGTTCGTTTGAACCCTTAACCTCCAGGGAGGCTGGGCTTTACCGTGGTAAACGTGTGCTGATGACCTTCATCTGACCTGCCCTTGGTTCAAAACAGTCTGTTCTGTAAAATCTTACAGGTCATTGAGCTAAATACCCCTAATAGTTTCTCTACTTTGATGCAGATACTAATGTCTGGATCTACAAAAACCCATCCAGATGATGAGAACACCATGATTGAACCCCATTTCTACTTTATATACACATTGAGTGCATATGATTTATACACAAGACTAAATGACACAGAATCAAAGCAACTTGTGTTGATAAAGAACTACGCCAACTCCAAATATTGCAAACCTGATCACCTCCTTCAGATCGGTCTTAATGCATCAGAAGGACTACGACCAAATACAGAAGTAGCTATGTTTTGTCTGAATACTTGTATCTCTTCACTCCTTTCTTCTTCATCACCAGAATATCAGACTGTGGCTCTCATTCTCAGGAAACTAATTACGATCATTGGTATTCACAAAGGGAATACAGATGATGATAGTGATGATGGGGTGTATGGAATGTACAAGAAAGCATACAGGATTATGGTGGGGTTGAAGGCAGGGGAGTATCCGGTTGAGGAAGGGAAATGGCTTGCCATGACAGCATGGAATCGGGCAGCTCTGCMAGTGAGGCTGGGGCAGGTGGTGGAAGCAAAGAAGTGGATGGATATGGGTTTGGAATTGGCGGGCAGGGTTGCGGGCATGGACACATATAAGTCTTGTATGGAGGACTTTGTTTCTGGGGTCGAAAAGAAAGTCGAGGCTCAAGGCCATCTCATTACTGGAAGCTAGAGGTATTCTTTTAAATCAAGCTTTTTAAAAGATGAATCATATGAAATAGAAGAGATGATCTCTAAGTTGGTGAATGACTAATATAAATAGGATACAAATCTTGCATAAGTAAAGAATGTAGTATCTCTAGATCCACATATATGAGTATCCTGATGCTGGTGGTTGATTGATTCAGTTTCTGTCTGTCTCCTTGGTAAGTATGCCTTTGTGATGGACCAAGGTTTTTTATTTATTTATTATTAACCTGGATATCCAACCCGCTATGCGAGCTGACTAATTACAGGGCGACCACCTGCTTTGTAGATAGCCTAGAGTCACCGCATTTGAACCTCCGTGGCCACAAGGTGATGTTTATTCCTCCTTGGATTTGAACCTAAGACCTTCTGGTACTTTTGACCTTTGGAACCAAGCTCAAACCAATCGGATACCACCCTTCTGGTTAGAAGTCTTTTGGTCCACAAATAATTTTCAGATATATATATTAGTAAAAGATATTTGAATATTTAATTATTAGTTTTTTATATCTACATGTCAAAATAATATTCTACTTTTAGGAACATATATAAACGAGTATAAATTTAATTTTTAAAAAATAAAATAAATACATTAGCCAATCCCAAATATTATGGATAAGTGGAAAATCTATCCAAACACATGCTAGCCAATAACAAGCTTACAAGTGTACGAGAGCATCTTTGGGAGAACCACAGATTTATGAGTAAAAGATATCGAGTTTGCCAAGTCACTGTGTGTCTCCCCTGGGCCTGCTATAACCATTTGATTTGGCCAGAGTTGTGGAGGAAGACAAGTGGAATTGACCAAAATGGCCACAGCACCCTCAACCATGGCTAGCCACCTCAAGGGAAGTCTTGCAACTTCTTTTACTAGAGGACTTGTTACCCCCAAGGGCATTTCTGGTATACCATTTAGACTCCTGCCTTCCTCTGCCAAATCTTCCTTCACCATCAAGGCCGTTCAAAGTGATAAGGTTTTTCTTCTTTCATTTTTCTTAATACTTTGTCATTCTTAATGCATCTTCTTTAACAATTAACAAAAGTGCCCTTTAATAATGACTAAACATGAATGACAATGGGTAAAAAAGTAATTCTGATTTGGAATTGTATCATTGTATGTACTATGCAGCCCACTTACCAAGTGGTTCAGCCCATCAATGGTGACCCGTTCATCGGAAGCCTCGAGACTCCGGTGACATCAAGCCCATTGATTGCCTGGTATCTTTCAAACCTTCCTGGATACCGTACCGCGGTGAACCCGCTGCTACGTGGTATCGAGGTCGGTCTAGCTCACGGGTTCTTTCTAGTGGGCCCATTTGTGAAAGCAGGTCCATTGAGAAACACAGAGTATGCGGGTGCAGCTGGATCGCTAGCCGCTGGTGGATTGGTGGTGATCCTAAGCATTTGCTTGACAATGTATGGGATGGCATCGTTTAAAGAGGGTGAGCCATCGATTGCACCATCATTAACCTTGACCGGGAGGAAGAAGGAACCGGACCAACTTCAAACGGCGGATGGTTGGGCCAAGTTCACCGGCGGGTTCTTTTTTGGTGGGATCTCTGGGGTCACATGGGCTTATTTCCTCCTCTATGTACTTGACCTTCCTTACTATGTTAAGTGAGATCTTAATTTAAGGCCTCTTTTAGAAGAGGTATGATTGCTAAATATGGGAAGTTGTAAATTAATGGGATGATCTTTTGAAAGATATTGTTTATGATGTTTTATATATTTGAATTTTCTCTTAAATCAAATGCTATCATGTTAAAATAACGATCTTACCGGTGAATTTCTATAATAAATGTTCACATTTTTATTTGTATTCGTTTCAAAATAAATGTTCAATTTCCAAAATAAACAACTAAATTATCAAATCTACTGTTAATAAATTAAGTATGGGTAAAGTTGTCATTTAGGGGCCGTTTGTTTGTCACCATTAAGAGCCAACCTCTTAATCGGTCAGAGGTAAAGACTGTTTGGCAAAAAAAACAAACCTCTTAATGGTTACATTAACCTCTTAACCATTTTGTACCTAGGGCTTTACTAAACAATTCAGATGTTCATTTTTCCAACTCTGCCCTCTCACCAGCCGTTCTTCACATCGCATCCCCCCATCGTCAGTCTTCCATTCGCTGTCTTCCCCCCCCACCCCAGATCGTCGCTCTTCCGGTCAACTCTTGGTTGGTTGTCTTCCGGTGGTCATCTTCCAGGTGGTCGTCTTCCGGTGGTCAGCTCCGGTCGCTGTCTTCCGGTGGTCATCTTCCAGGTGGTCGTCTTCCGGTGGTCAGCTCCGGTCGCCGTCTTCCGGTGGTCATCTTCCAGGTGGTCGTCTTCCGGTGGTCAGCTCCGGTCGCCGTCTTCCAGGTGGTCATCTTCCGGTCGCCGCCCCTACTGCTTCCCTCCATCTGTTTCAGGTATTTCATCGCTTCCCTTCGCTTCATGTTGCTACCTTGGTTCTATTCACTTCTTGGTTGCTATCTTGTAGAAACCCTTGTTACCTTGCCATTGTGTAAAGCATTTCATGTTTGGATTTAGCAAAAAAGTGAAATTGGACAGCAGCAGATGCATTTCTGAAACAGTGTTTGTAAAATTGAAGGCAAATGCACACCTGTTTGCTACAAATTTCGATTCTTGGCTAGGTTAGAGGGGCTGGTCTGTAGTAGTCCAGTACCAATTATGTGCTTTTATGTTGTATGGACTCTTTTGTGAATTGGATAACCTTAGTTTGATTAGAATGGAACTCCTTTGTCTCGAGGGTTAAAATGGTAATTTGTTGTCATTCAGAGAACAGTTACCAAACAACATTATTTCACTTAACACTTAACCATTCTGACCACTTAACCATTCTGCACTAAACCATTCAGCAACCGCCAAACAACCTAACTAAAAGATGTATAATTTATGTGTCTAAAAATTGAATGTCACTGACAGAAGTACTATTCATATATATGTGGCCGTCGTTGAAATTTATGCGTCCGCTAACTTGGCCGATAAATATCAATCCAAATTACTCTTTTAAAACATAACGTACAAAATGAATGAATTTATTTTTAAAATGATTCATATTGATTCTAAATTTTATTCAAACTTACTTGTTATTTTAGACTGATCGTGTTTAACATGGCTATTTATTTTAATCTGTTATTCAATCCATTTGTTTTACCATTTTTAAAAGTTATTTACTTACGAATTACACATCATCTTAACTTCCACTTTTATTTACTATTTTTCATAAAACCATGAGCTAAAATGATAATAATGAATTGGAACAAAAATTAGATAATAATTACATTATGTTGTATTCTCGATCTTGACAAGATTTTTTTTTATTTGTATTCTCGAAAGAAAAAAAAGGAAGAAAAAGCAATTTCTCGTGTCCTTGAAGAGGAGAAAAAAAAAAGGAAAAAATATCGTTTTTACTAATACACCCCTTAAAAATATATCATTTAATATGAAAGATTGGGTAGTTTTGTAATTTTAATAATTTTTTAAAATTTTTTAATTTCCTTTCTTTCCTCTCATTTCCTTTCATTTTCGTGGAAGGAAATCCTGGAAAGAAACAATATTATTAATTTATCTCCTATAAAGTTTTGAGAACATAGTTTTTTTTTTTAAATTTTCTCCCATCTTCTTCGTAAAAAAGGTTTCGAGAACACAACATAAGGGTGCATTTGGTACATTAGAGAGGATAAAACAAAACATAACAAAAATCACCGTTTCATGTTTGACATGACTTTTATATGAAACAGACAATAACATATTCCACCTCATCTCATGGAACATGTTGGAACATACTTATATTTTACCTATATAACTATAAAACCAAACCGAATTCTCTTCTAAACATCAAATATGTATCCCTTTTTATATCTTATTAATTCTTTTCATTTTATTTATTATATCTTATGTTTTTAAACTTTTTTTTTACTGTCATTAGTATATATTATTTTTATACAGTTTTTATATTTTGGTTGATTAATATAATTTATTTAATAAAAATTATAAACTACATAAATTTTTTATTTTAGTATTATTTTAATCTATTTGATGAATTTTTTTTGATAATATATTTTATTATAAATTTTTTATTATAATTTAATAAATTATATAAATTAATAAAAATGTGTAAAATTGTGAAGAATGAGAACCAAAGAGGCCCTATCTTTATTTAACGACTCGTAGTCGAACACAACGGCCAACTGCCATTTCCATTTTCATTTCCATTTCCATTTCCATCTTCTCTGGTCTTCCTTTCCCACTCGCGCCAAATCCATCCAAATGGCTGCCATCCTTCACTTCTCTTCTTCTCTTCAACTTCAATCCTCCTACACTCCTCCCTTCCTCACAAAATCTCCGCCTACGCTCCGCCACAGCTTCCTCAAGGATCGCATCCTCCTCCAAACAACAAGGAGATCGATTGCCTTCACATGCCAATCCATCAATGATGATGCTGATGATGTATGTTTTGTTTCTGCTTTCTATTCTTTTCTTTTTTTATTTTTATTGAAATCGATGAATGTGTTCAATTAGGGTTATTTGTTGGATGCGCCTGTTTCGGCTGGAGATGGCTTCTCTTTCAGCGGAGGTTTGGATTTGCTTCTCCCTGCGTAGACTTGTGTTACTAAAGCGTTGAAATGCAGATTTGATTAATTAGTATTTATTTTGAACAGGGAAATATTCGGATGGACCGAATCCAGCTGATGAATGGTTTAAGAAAGGAAAATTTGTAAGTTTCTACAGAGAAATATGGTGTTTGTTATATTGTCAAAAAGTTGAAACCCTAATCAACATCGTAAGTTATTCAATATAAAATCTGCATTTTGGTTTGATTTACAAGGAAGTCTGACCAAAATGATGGGAAAAAGATAATGAATGATGGTGCCTTTAGGTGTCAAACTTGAACTGTTACTGATCTTGTTAGCTAATTCTTAAACCTATTCTCCGTTGAATGATACTGTACTGAATATGTATTGAATTAAGTCACTTATAATCTGACACAAAATAGAGTTTGTGGCAATCCAAAACGAGAAACATGTGAATTTTTGGTGTCCATTTTCAGTCTATCTTTTGTAGCGAAATATATTAGCTTTACAGTTTTTGCCGCATCAAGTTTTTTTTATCAGGCAGAGAAGTTAGCTTGCTAGGGTTTAAGCAATTTCATACCGAATTTTTATTTTCTTCTTATGGTTTTCTCCTGCAAGATGTTTCACATCGATCTTGTTGTTCATTTGTCTATTACATTTCTTTCAGTTTCTGCCTTTGCTGTAACTGTTATGAACTATGGATTCAGTAGAAGCAATTAATCAAGCGATAGAGGCCATGGAGAAGAAATCTTCTCCGGTAATATTAATTGAAGAGAACTACTGTAAAAGGAAAGATGAAAATATATACTTATCTAAACTTTGTAATAATGAAAATTAGTCCCTAAAGTATGTACAATAACATATGCTAACAATAACAAATCAAAAGGATGTGTAAGATAACTTTTAATCCAAAGCATACATGTCGTCAATCTTTTCATCCCTCCAACTTTCATCTGTTGGATTTTGAAACTGTTTTGAATGTTCTTTTAACAATTTTTATCTTCAGATGAAAGCACATCCTGTTTATGGCAATGGTGAAAAAGCCAAGGATCCAATTTTTGGTCTTACAATGGGTGGCAATTCTCAAGCCTCCACAGATGTCTTCAGGTACTCTCTGAAGTATTATTCTTTATGAGTAATCCCTCCATCCAATGAAAATTGCAACAATTTTCATTTTGAGTTCAATGAAAATTACAACATTTTATTTTATTGAAAAAAATCCAAGTTAAGAGTACCTATTTGTCCATTGTCATCATTGCAGATTATTGATGCCAATGCTTTTGGTGCATAAGATAATTTCTATTTTGTCATTGTTGAAGGGCATGAGCATTTCCTACATATGATTCAAATCAAACATTTTTAATGAACTTCAAGTCGAGTCAAACCTTGCAATTTTCATAGGATGGAGGACTGAAAGCAAGTGGGGTAGGTGCTTGTAATGCAGTAATTGAAGGTGGACTATTTGCAGGGCTTACCGATTGAAACATGCTCTCTATATATAATTTTTGCACTAGATGGTTTTGCGTAGAAAGTGGAAATGCTGATAAACCTTCAGTTATATTAATTCATGGATTTCCTTCACAGGTGAGTTTATTTGCGGTTTTAAAATTAGATAGAAGGGCCACAAGTCTTTTTAATGCATCAGGAAAACTACTTTTCTGTTGTCCAATCAGATTTCAGGTAGATAATATATATTCATCTGGTGCTTTTAGGCTTATTCATATCGCAAGGTATTGCCACTGCTATCCAAGGATTATCATGCTATCGCTTTTGATTGGTTAGGTGAGTCATTACATCTTGTAAAAACTTCGTTTCTTTATTTGTGCATGCAATTCTTATTTCATATAAATACGTTCGGGTGAAAATGAGATGAATTCACTGTCGCCTATAACAATTTTCTTTTGAGGAATGCATAGTTTATAATGGCAGAAATTACTTCATCCTACGGAAATTGAAACAATCAAAATTTGGGATATATGTTAAATTGACAATGTTTTTTTGGTAAAGTTTCAAGCTGAACTTACTTATGTGTCCATGTTCTTGATGCTATCTTTTTTCTTCTTGCAGGCTTTGGATATTCAGATAAGCCCCAACCCAAATATGGATTTGATTATACCTTAGATGGTAATTACTCCTCCAGGCAAAACGAACTGATGGCTTTATTTTGATTCCTGTTTGGCAATTTAATTTCAGAGACATAAAGAGCATATAACATTTCACATTGCTGTATTGTTGTGGTAAGCAGAATTCGTGTCAGCTCTGGAATCTGTTATTGATGAGCTTGGTGTCAATAAGGTTTCACTTGTTGTTCAGGTATATCCATGTATCCACTTCAACTCCTTGATCTATCGCCATGACATCTAGCAGATGACAATTGAAAACCTGCGTTTTTAACCTTGCAGGGATATTTTGCGCCCATTGTTGTTAAATATGCAAACAATCATCAGGAGAAGTTGAATGATCTCATACTGCTTAATCCTCCTGTACGCACTTTCCAACTTTCCCTATACAATTAATGTAGTTTTTGCATATATTTCTACTGAAGCAATTCTAAAAATGGAGAATCCCTATTGAAATAGGAACTATATCAGGAATTAGCAGAGCAAATTTTCTGACTACGTTATACATAGTATAATACTTCATATATGGTGTGCCGAAACAGAGTGAGACTTCACATTTTCTCTGTCCGAGAAAAAGTTCTGTTTCAGATCTAGCATCAAGGAAGTTGATGCTCCTAATCACACTTGCCTTTTTAAAGACAGGATAAATACGTTAATGTAGCATCAAGAAAACGTGTCTTTAAATTCTTTCTAAATTGTAAATTGAACTATTTTTTGGATTGTTGGCTAAACACTCAAAGTCATCAAAACCTAACATTGCTTATGAATTTTGGTTTAATGACTAAAGCTAACAGCCAAGCATGCAAACCTGCCATCAACATTGTCCATATTCAGCAATTTTTTGTTGGGTGAAATATTCTCACAGGTATATTACACATAAACACATGTAAATTTCACTTTATGTTTGTATTAAATTATCCATAGAAGATTTAATGATTCATTCTTGAATGGTTGTACTTTGATAAACTTAATTTCCTTCCAACCAGGATCCTCTTAGGGCCAGCGATAAAACCTTGACAAGCTGTGGACCTTACAAAATGAAAGAAGACGATGCTATGGTGTATAGGAGACCATATCTTACATCTGGTTCCTCTGGCTTTGCTCTAAATGCAATTAGTCGAGCCATGAAGAAGGAACTTAAGGTGCTGTATTGTTCTTTGTCAGGTTTGCTGTTTTTATTATTGTTGTTTTTTGGTTGCATAATCTGTTCCTTTTCTAAACAGTGAGGAAACCAACACATTCATTGAGCAAACATAATCTCTTAACAAATGCTTTTGGGATATCATTCATTTCTTTGACACGATGATTATGGACAGAACTATGTTGAAGAAATGAGAAAGATCCTCATGGATGATGATTGGAAAGTTAAAACATCAATATGCTGGGGACAAAGAGACCGCTGGCTAGACTTTGATGGAGTTGAAGATTTCTGCAAGGCTGCAAAACATCGGCTAGTTGAACTTCCCATGGTATTAGCAGTTGTTATGAGAACTGAACCTTTATCAAATTTGTTCACAGCACTTGAGATTTCAAACCAAACCAAACTAACCCAATATATTCCACTCAGGGGTGGGCTTTTTTTTGGGGGGGGGTTGGTTGGGATGTACACAGACCTAACCACTTCTCCAGAGAATAGCCCTTGAGATTTCTAAACCAAACCAAACGAGCCCAATACATCTCAGCTGGAGGTGGGATCTTTTTCTTGTTTTTTTTTTTTTTTTTTTTTTTTTGGGGGGGGGGGGGGGGGTTAAGATGTACGCATACCTCACCTCTACCTTAAAGAGTAGAGAGGTTGTTTCTATGACAACCCCCGGCTAGTGAAATGTGTGTGATGGGAGAAAAACAAATATGCTAAAAAAATAAAAAAACTAGATAAGAGAGAGCAACATCAATAAAATCAGAAAGATAGAGATACATATTTTAAATAAGAGTATGCTACAACAATACAAATAGCAAGTACAGGAAAAACATAACCAAAGAATAGCGCTTGAGATTTTTCTGAAACCAAATAATTTCTGGCAACATTTGCTTTGCAGGCAGGGCATCATGTACAGGAGGACTGTGGTGAAGAATTAGGAAACATTATTGCTGGACTGGTTGGCAGAAAGGTTCGAATCTGATGCCTTTCTCACAGTTCTGTATCTGAATGTGTCGATGAACCCATATGTCTTTTCCTCGTATCTCCTTCAGCAAAGCAGGCATAATTTTGAAACAAGAAGATGGTATATATATGTGATTAATTATTGTTATCAAATACATATGAATTTGAAGAGAACATGTATATTTGTTAAATGATTGTAATTTTAAAGTAATCGAAGAAAAAGGATTTTCTGTGCCGTTTCTTGATGCAAAGATCATTCTATGAGTAATATATAGTGTTAGTTTGTGTCACTGCTGCTTGTATGGATCAACCCAACAGCCATCTTCTTGAACTGCTTTTCGCCATCTTCTCTTGAATTGTTCTAGTTCGTTAAGGGACTGTTTTCGGACCTGCCAAATCAGAAACAACATTTATTTTGAGTCCATCAACTTAAAGATGCACTTTTGATTTTACAGGTCAAGCATGTACTCAGAATATATATGTTTTCTTTCAAATTACCACCTATAGTTTTTTGTTTTGATTGAAGTAGTTAAAACTTCATAGCATTCATCTATTTTTCCTTCCACTTTTGAAATGCTTACATCAACTTTGAAGTTGAAAATTAGTCCATTTCATAAACCAAACCAAAAAAAAACATACCCAATATATTTTGGAAGGTAGGATGTACACAGTCTATTTGCTCTTGAAGTCAAATAACTATTCTCAAGTTGAATATTTCTATTGGTACAAACCTTATATTTTTATGATACTAGGTTATCCAACTCCAAAACTGCCTGCTAAGGCATCTCCAATGGGTAACACCAAATCCATAAAAATTTGGTGTAAACATAAATCTACTCCAATGTGTAAACACCAAATCCTACAGCAGAGCCATAAAAGTTGGTGTAAACAATAAATCTACTCCAACAGGTAACACCAGATCTTATACCAAAATGTAAGATTCGAGGTATATTCCTCTTTATCTTATTCAACTGGTGGAAAATTTGGTGTAAATGGATAGTGTTACACCAAATTTGGTGTGTTACTATTCATTACACCAAATTTGGTGTCCCCATTGAGTTATTTGGTGTTGGATTTGGTTTCCGCATTGGAGATGGTCTAAGTTAGCATGTTATGTGACATTCTGTTTCACATTACCGTTAATAACCATAGAAAAGTACATCTTACTAACTCAACATGCCATTTGCTATCATACAATATAAACAAGCTTTCAAGAGTTTGTCGTCATCAACATATCATGTTAAAAAAGTGCTCATATAAAAAGGTTGTAGTCATAAAAACCGACATGTTTTGAAAAGTTTGTCGTGATACAAATCAATCGTATTGTGCATTCTACATAGGCAAAAACCCTAAACGTGGAATAAAAAGGAACCACCATACTTTTGACTATTTCTTGTAAAATAAACCTATTTCTTTCAAACCCAATCAATCTTTTATCTTTTAAAATCTCCAAATCAGGTACCTATGTATCTTTGGACACATATCACCCTAAGTTTTATGCTTGTGGAGGATTAAGAATAATAGAATATGAAGTGAAGATGCAAAAGTTACCTCAGCTCTAATATCTGTGTGATTGGATTCCAACGAGACTTTATCCTGTAAAGAAGAAGACTCCTCTATTGATGATTCAGTGTTTGTCTGCATAAATAATTCATAAGCATTCATCAATCCACATGTTAACATGCTGCTATCAATATATCCTTATTATTGTTCTTTCTTCATTCATGCTCATTGTTGATCATAATCAAGCCATGTGCATGAATAAGTCAACCATCATCATGTTACATCATGATTGACTATTCGAAAACTGGTAATAATAGAACACCTTATTTTGTGGCGAACCCCCGAGTGTAGGAAGACCATAGTGAACAACATACTCGGAGTCAACTATCCCAATATATTGTGTTCGGTTACCCTGTGCACAGTACCCCAGTTGCATGTCCAATCCCCACGCATGAATCAAGTCGTTCTGTTGCAAATCTCAATTATGTTATTATTACTCAAATCATTGTGGAAATCAAAACCCCATAATATTATGGTTCTTACAACAAAACCGGTTTTATAGGAGGCCAAATATATATAGGTGTCATAATAGACTACTTTATAGAACTTAAGTTTATAGAACCAAACAATTGTGCATCATATATGAAGGTTATACAATAGCATGTTAGGACTTATGTGGGCATCCTAACAAGTATTTTAGGACACATTTGAAATAATGGATCCTCTTAGCTTTTTTATAGGACACTTTCGAGGAATGAGCACATCTTTGTATAGAACAACTTGTTTATATAAGACAACATTTTTCGAATAATATCATATTAAGAGACTAACTAATAGGATGCTTTATTTCAAAAGTATCTTAAAAGAACTTGTTAGGATACCAAAAAGGGTCCTATCAACTTATTGTAACACGTTTATACAGGACACACAATTGTTTGGTCTTATAAACGCAAGTCCTATAAAATAGTTCATCTTCTGTTTGGTCAAGTGTAACAGGCTCATTGCAAATACAATGATTTTAAGTCCTCAAGAAACTGATTATGTGTATGTGTATGTGTATTTGGTTACCTGAATCATATACCACACGCAACGCCATGCTTCTTTTGAGAATACAGGAGCCATCATTTCGACCCACCTAAATTGCACACCAAAATGTTCCAGAAATGAAAAAGAAGCTAAAATCTGATTCTAAGATAAACAGATGCATCTATTACAGTCTTACCCAGTGCACGGAGGATCCGTACTGTTTCTGTAGCATTTCTTTTTGGAGCGACTCATTCTTTCGATTCTTCTGTTGGCACAGAATTGGAAACAGTCAAAACATGCTCAAATACATACTGATAAGTTGACAGATTTGACCTTTCAGGTCGAAAGTAATAGTTTTGAACTTCATATATACCTACAAGAATTACTTAAAATTGAGTAAATCTTGAAAATTACGTGAAGGGTCATAACGCGTACCACCAGCTGAAGAAGGGTGATCCGATACTCGTCACATATGAATAATATTTCAATCTTTAAAGTGCAAAATTTGACATTTAAAGTCAAATGTGCTTCAAGATCAACTGTATATATACCTGTGTAAAGTTGATCCTTTTTCTCGTGTTGTCATTTCGTGATGCACCTCTGATTTATCAGGATCAAGTGCAGGCTGTGATATATGAAGTCCTTCATTTCTAATGATCGATACGTATCTGCATCAACAAAATTGCCAAAAACTCACATTTGTTTGCTATTTGCTGTTGGTTTTCAGGAAAAGAAGTCCAAGAAAGATGAATAACCTTCTGGCATCAAAATTTTGGACACCAAGATCTTCGTCCCAAAGGAAAATGTAAGCGTACTCCGATACAACATCTGGGTGCAAGAACCTCTTAGCAAACCACCTGACCCGTCCATAGATAAGAACTGATAATTACATCTGATGTTTACAAACCAAACCTGGAGATGGGGTCTAGGGAGTGGGATTACGCAGAGTGTCCTCTACCCCAATCTGTATGTTCTACAAATGACATGACAGTAAATAAGTTGAAAGTGGAGAAATTTACCACTTTGTTTGACTAATAGCCGAAAGATGTATGGCACGACTACTCCACTCTAGATCCTTCCACTCGTCCACATTCCCATCATAATGGAAGAGCATAATCACAAAATCGTCCGATGGGAACTGAGTTTGAACACAAGTGATTCACCTTAGAGGTTAAGTTACATACATATTTAAGAAACATGGTACGTAGGGTCTACTAGGTGAACCAGTAGGAGACAATTTTCCAAGAGAACCGTCTTTTTCTTAAGAATGTTATGATTAGAATAGAAAATTTGATCAATCACCTTCTTAATCATTTCATTCACATTTGCTTTTTGCTTCTTCCCAACTGCCATAGCCAACAAGCTCATTGGTGATTTGGGGTTCTTCTGGTAAGCGATATATAACTAGTTAGTTATACGTCAAAATACTTGGAGAAGAGCATTAGAGAGAAAGGAAGTGGTACAGACCCTCTTCTTACGAGGTCCCCATAATGGCCGCATCTCTAGATCAGATGTTTTGACCACAATGCCTTTTGGCAAAGCCTCACTTCCATCCAGACTGCATTGATTCTTTAAGAAACCATTGTAAAAGATGAATTTATGGATCAAGAAACTTAAAGATCAGTCAGATGGAAGTGCCAAACCTCGCATATATTTGTTGGATCAGCTTGCATAGCATCAGAGTTTTGTAGTTCCGGAAACCTCTGGACCAAGATGCCCCGTAAGTGTTGGAACTTATCAAATCAAGGGATACCGAATGAGTATCAATCAAAACCAAACCAAATCAAACTGACCCAGTAAATCCCACTCAAGAATAGGGTCTTTTTTTGGGGGGGGGGGGGGGGGGTGGGGTGAGATGTATACAGGCCTCTACCCCAAAAGAGTAGAGCGGCTCTTTCAGTAAATCCCTATATGGATCTATCTATACATACATACATACATACATACATTGATGATGAAGGATCATGAAAGAGGATTCTTGTAAGACTGTTTTCTGGAGTTCCAGATCATCAAACCTGTATATTCGTAGGAACCTCTCCTCTCTCTATAAGAGCTCTTTTAGAGAGAGATTCAAAGGAGTTTCACAAATCTTGAAACTGTTTACTGTTTATGTAACTCAAACCCATGACCTTCTAGTAAGGAACAACTTATGGTAAGAGATTTGAAAGTAAATATATGTGTACCTTCTTATGATCTACAACGATGATTGCACTTGATATAAAGAAAGCCGCGGAGACCAATATAGCACCGAAAAGACGGCTACAAAGTAATGATTTATGCCTCTTGATAGGCAAATCAACCTGATGATACATAAGAGATTCAAGTGGATTAAACTCAAAATTCATCACTTTTATCCAAAACAATTGCATTTTGAGCCTGAACAAAGGGATCAAATCATGGTCCATAACAAACCACAAAGGTCCCTACAGCTTTGGCCTAGCAAAGAGGTGGGGCATCTTGCAGAACAGACCCAAAGCACAGTTGGGATGAAAATGTCAAAAAACACTGTTTGTTGTGTGTGATAGAAAACTGTAAACACAATCCTAGATTATATACATACATATATATATATATATATATCAAGAAAACAAGCAGTGGATGGTACTTCAAATTCAATCCCAGATTATATACATACATACATACATATATATATATATATATATATATATACATACATATGTATAAGGGAGAGAGAGAGAGAGAGAGAGAGAGAGCAACTTACAGAAGTGTTCTTCATATAATCACAGCTGTTGAAAGAAGATGGAATGAATTGAGAGTTGAAGAAATAATATGCAGAATCTTGTAAATGTATATATAGAAAGAAAGATGGAGAATGTTGACTTTTCAAGTGGACAAAAACAGGGGAAGTGGAAGGTGAGCAGAAGAGAGCACCTTTGCGTACAATTGCGAAAAATAAGTGCGATTTTACCGGCAAAATTTAATACACCCTCAGCTTCGAATCCTACGTTACCTGCGCCACCACCTCTCTCCCTCTATTTTCTTGTTTATCCGTACTATATTATAAAGTATTTGATAAAAACTCTTTAAAATTATTTTTTATACATAAAATATTTTTTATTTATTCATATTACTTAAAATTCAAGATTACAAATAAATTGTCCGTAAATGCAACTTATTAAAGCTTCATGTTTGAATCCGTGTAACTAACTTCAAATAAATATAATCAAATAGATGATAAACATTTCATTTTAAATATAAAAAACAAAAATATAATTAAAATATTCTAACAAAATATTTAATTATTATCTTTATAAAAAATTATATTATTAAACCAAAAAAAATAAATTAAGGAAATACAAAAAAAAGAGAAATTTTAAATAGTTAGTTTGATATTAATATCAATATTTTTTATAATATATTTATATTTATATTTTATTCAAAAATAAAAACATTATCTCTTTCTCAAAACCACATAAAACCGTGTTATAACATCAACTAAGACAAAAAAAGAAAACGGAACACTAAAATCGAGATGTATCTCGCTATATTGTGCGAGTTTCCTTCTAGTATTTATTTTAATATCTAATGTTGTTATATATATATATATATATATATATATATATATATATATAGACTTAGGATCATGTGAGACCAATGGTTTTTCGTGAGACCCGTAAGACCAATTTTCAACCCTTGGATTAGATTTACAATCGTCAGATCTGAACATTTATAAACGCCACGAGACTTCTTACTAATTACGAAATTGCCACCTTGCAACTTTGCAACCATTAGATCATTAATTCATAAATTTGATCAATGAACATAAATTGGTCTTACGGGTCTCACGAAAAACCCTTGGTCTCACGTGAACCCAACCCTATATATATATATATATATACACACACACACACGCTTCAATATGTCAATATTTACTAGGCCTTTCAAAAACTTACTTTTTGTGTTTCAAAATAAATACAATATTTAAAGTTAGCATGTGGTTACTAAAAGTACCCTTTCAATGATCAAGTGTCTAAAATATGTTCGATAATAACAAAATAAGGAAAAGTTATAAAACGAAAAATATTTTACGACACGAGACAAATAAGACAAATGAGTAATACGTATACAAAGTAGTAAGTAGTAACCGTGTAGAAGACAAATGAAAACATGTCCTCTTTCAAACAATCATAGTTTTGAACTAAATTCCCCATCAACCGATAAAAAAGTCATAATGCAATCCCTCTCCTCAGAAAAGCACCTGCTGCTCGTTCCTTGTTGGTCGGTGTTGATGTAGAAGGTGCTGGTTGTAGCCTTAGATGTATGAGCTCAACAGTGTTGGCCAGCCGTCTGTGGTATAATTTATATGATTTTAGCTACTCTCCCAGAGGTCCAAATCCACATTTCAAGTTTATATTTAAATAACAATCTTTGTTTTAGAAAAAAAAAATACCATCTTTTTTTGAGTTATTCTACAAATAAAACAATCAAAAGACATAAAAATGTATTTAAATAATAATCGATGCAATTTATATGAAATCTAGATGAAATAGTACGTGATAAATTAAAATATCTGTAACGTATAATCATATAAAGACATAAAAATGTAAAAGTTCACTGGTAAAAGAAAACCTTTTGACTAAAAAAGTAAAACAGGAGTGGGACATTGTTGATTAAAAATAAGCGAATTTTGATGACGACCGTAAAACAAGGAGAGGGGCAAAGGGGCTAAAACAAGGCCAGAACGTTATGCGGGTTATTGATTTTGGACGATTTTTTGATCTACTTTATTTATACTAAAATATAAGGCATATGATAAAAACTCTTAAAAACCATTTTTTATACATGAAGTACTGTTTATTGATGCATATTACTTAAAATTCAAGATTACAAGTAAATTATACGTAAGTACAACTTATTAAAGCTTCATGTTTGAATTCGTGTAACTAACTGCAGATAAACATAATCTTAGAGAATAAACATCTCATTTTAATTATAAAATATCTAAAATATAATTAGGATAATCATTGAGTTCTAACAAAATACTTAATTATTATCTTAAAAAATTTATTTTATTAGACGAAAAATAAATTAGTTCGTCTTTAAAATTCAATTAAATCATAATAAAAAATTGAATTAAAGAAATTACAAAAATAAAAAATTTAAATAGTTAATTTGATATTAATATCGCTGATTTTTATCAAAATTTTATAATATTTTCAAATTTATATTTTATTAAAAAATAAAAACATTTTCTTTTTCTCAAAACCACATAAAATTCACATTATGACATTGATAGACCCAAAACATAAAACAAAACAATTAAATTAAAATGTATTTCGTTGCATTGTACGAGTACTGTTATAGTATAAACGAAATATATTACATGGTTAGAATCTTTAATTATATTTATAATTAAAACTTTTAATAGAATTTAGTAACCTCTAACACCATCAAAATCTCTAATATAAACACATTTTTTTATCATTAATATTTATTATATGATTTTAATTAAAACTGATTCTAACAATAAAAAGATTTTTTAACATGTCTTTAGTATTTAAATAAGAAAATGAAAATTTTGTATTAAATTAAAAATATTTTAATAGAATAAAAAGGGAGACACACGTCACTTTGGCAGCCACTACGTTACCACCCTCTAATTTTATATATAATTCCTTTCATTTTAATGGTGTTACAACCAAGTGATATCAATTGCATCCACACTCAAAGGTTGAGTTTTTCCATTTTCTTTAATACAATAAATCCTCATTTGTGTCATAAACTCAGTAATATATATATATATATATATATATATATATATATATATGGACTTATTCAAGAGAGAACTGAGTTGTTTGTGGTAACTGTGAAAACCAATATTAACCACAAATCAATTAATAAATTAGGAAATTTATAATTTTGGTAATTTTAAATTAAAATTTTAATGCAATGACATTTTAGGTATTTTCTCTCATCTCTCCTCTCTTCTCTCTCCGGCCACCGTCCTCCGGTGATACTACAATGGTATCACAATGCATCACATATGTGATTGGGTATCACATTGATGTCGTTTGTGTGGTCGATCGAAGATGTAACACAGTGGTATCATTATGCATCTTATATATGATTAGGTATCACAATGTATCTTTTGTTTAACAGAGTCAATATTTTTAGGTATCACAGTGGTATCACTGAAGGACAGTGACCAGAGAGAGAAGAGAGGAGAGATGAGAGTTTTAAAATACCAAAAATATCCTTGCATTAATATTTTAATTCAAAATTGCCAAAACTATAAATTTCCTAATTTATCTATTGATTTGTGGTTAATATTGGTTCTCACAGTTACCACAAACTAATTAGTTTTCATTTGATTAGGCCCCTATATATACATATACACACACACACACACACATATATATATATATATATATATATATATATATAAAAGGGAGAGAGAGGGGATTGGTTCTTTTGTTAACCCAATAAATGATGTTAACTTTGTGAACCAATCTTAGTCATTCATCTTGGAAATCTATGGTTTATATTTATTATGACACTCTTGTAATAAATTAGAATAAGATGCATTATAGACATAAATGAACACTTATGAACATGAGCATATTTGGAAGAAATCATAAAGATCTTTGTAACTTCCATGTTTTATGTTAATAAACACATGCACTATATAGTCTAGTTCACATGATAAAATGTGAAGTGGTATCTGGTTCACCTATGAACAAACATCATGTTGTGCTTATGAACAAGATTCATGTGTTTAATTATGAACATTGTTCACTTTTTTTCAAAATAATTGGTAATCTGGTTCACATATGAAACCGATACTTTTTTAAATGTTGAAACGAGATGGTTCACCTATGAACAAATGTTTACTCATGTATGTAACCGACAATTAATTTGAATAATTAAGAAATGTAACCGACAATTAATTTGAATAATTAAGAAATGTAATTGACAATTAATTTGTATTAAAAAAGATCAAATAAAAAAAATACATGTTTACCCTCATTAATAAATTCATCATGTGCATCAACCAAAAGTGTATCTTGTTTCTTATTGGTTCATTGAGGTTTGTAAAGTTAACACATTTTAATTGGTTAACAATATATATATATATATATATATATATATAGAGAGAGAGAGAGAGAGAGAGAGAGAGAGAGAGAAAGAGAGAGAGAGAGAGGAGCGATCAATTGCAAACCACTCTCATTTGTGAAAACCCTACAAACCAATCTAATCCATCCATTTTCTTGATCAATGGTCAAGATTAAATAGTGTTATATTAAGAAATTAAAAAAAAGTTTAATTTTTAATTAAAAAAGGGCAAAATCGGCAAATCATCTATATGAATCTGTTTCATCGTATGAAATTGTATTTCATCACTGTCCATTTTACTATATGCAACTATTTCACTGTATGAAACTGTATTTCATCACTGTATGAAAAACATTATTTCATCACTGTATGAATATGTATTTCTTAACTAGATGAACATATATTTCTTTCTTGTATGAATTTGTTTCACAATATTTACTCATATGTGTGAATCTGGTTCATTGTATGAATCTATTTCATATTATGAAACTTTATTAATATGTCCTCTTCATTATATGCAACTATTTCACTATTTCACCATTTCACCGTTTTATATTTAAAAACAATTGATTTACACCTTCCATATAAATGGTTTCTATATTTACGTTTCCATATTTAAAAATAATTAAATCATTTCCAATATTATATTAAAAAACAATTGATTTACACATTCCATATAAACGGTTTATGTATCTACGTTTCATATTTAAAAATAATTAAATCATTTCAAATATTAACCATT